CAGTGGGGGGGACATAGATTTATTTGTATCTTAGAAGTATGGAAGCAAGGTACTCTGGTAGGCACCCCTGAGCAGGTGGTGTTGTCCTCCTCTTCACTGGAATTCATGGGCTGATGCCAGCATCACCTGCTGCCTCCTGCAGAGACTCTGGAGGAACTTCCAGTTTGTATTTCCCACCTACTGGCTGTGTCCTAGTGAGTGACATCTGTTTCAGAAACCACCCCCTGCTTGCTGCCTGGCCAACCTTCCAAGGCTGGCTGCCTCAGGGAGTTTAGCTGGAGGGAAGAGTGATGGCACTTTCCTGCTGAGCAAATCAATCTGTTCAGCCACAGTGTTCTGGGTATAGTGGTGTCTAGGCCATTCCCACATGTAGGGGCCATCATTATCCCTGCGGTGTCACTCCTTCAGGTACGTGATAAATGTGCAACCGGGAACACCTCCATTATTCCCCAATGAGCGTAAGAGCACAAAATACCTGTGATTAGGGGGCCTAAAGCAGTTACCTCTCCTCCTGAGAGTCCCTTTATCTTCCTTTAGTTTTCCTTTATTTTCCCATGGCCCAGATGGATAAATTATGACGGGCAGAGGAGGAGGGGCCCCTGTTCTCTTCTATTTGCATTTCTAGAAGGGTGTCTCAAGTGGTGCTGAGGGCATTTCTTTAAATACATCTTCTGCATACACTCCTCAGCATGGCATCAAGACCCTTCAAGATCTGGCTCCAGACCATTTTTCCTGCCACTCTTGCTGCCCCATCACTGCTCCCACAGGGGGCCATTCATTCCTCCATTAATTCAGGCCATCACCAGTGTTTATTGGGTATACTGTTTGATGAAAAGCTGATGAAGATCGAGTTCCTCCGTTTGAACTCTTTCTGGTCCTTTTAATGCTCTCTTTTGCTTTTGGATCCTTAGAATGTCCTCCCTCCCTCCTTCTCTCTGTCTTTCTCCCTCCCACCCTCCCTCTCTCCATTCCTCCTTCCCTCTTTCCCTTCCTCTTTTCTTTCTTCCCCCAGTAAGTAATTATTCATCTATCCAGTCCTTATTTGAAGGGCACCTGCTTTGTGCAACCTTGCCATGTAATTCTAAGCAGATTTTCAATGATCCGAAAGAATTATCTTTGTATTTTTAACATTGAACTTGTTACACAAATCCTTATAATACACTATGATATGTCTGTCTCTCTGACTGGAGAATGTGGGCCTCGTGGACAGGAAACATGCTCTGTTGATCTCTCTATATCCTGGCACTCAGGAGCCATTCAATAAATATTTGCGGGGTGAGTGAACAAATGAAGGAAGGTCTTAGGTTTTAACATCGATACCCACTTTAGCTATTGCCAAAGGGTGTCCTTCTCAGCTCCCACAGGCCTGATGGGGGTGGCCGTCAGCAGGGACACCTCATTTGAAATAGATGACGTTGAAGTTTCCCTTAGCTATGAAACAGACATCCATCATTGGTCCCAACAAGATCTGTCACCCTGGCTCTCCAGCCTCTATTTGCACCAGAATCAATACCTGTTCCTGAGGACACCTTTCCATAGCAAAGACCCATGTGGATGCTTTCTTCTTCAGCAGCAGTCACACCACTTAATACTAATCAGACCAGTGCTGGGGGTGGGGCAGGAGGGAAAGTCCCACTAACGATTGACTGCAGCTGGCAATCTGTTAGATTGTGTGTTGGGACTTAATGTGTGATTTCACGGCTTTTCATGGTCTCTAAACATTCAAGATTATTTGAAAACAGTTTATTTAATTTTCATGCTTTTTAAATCAAAAACGTTAAAAGACTAATAATCTTTTATGGGCAGCTATCAAATGTGCCATTTGCACATATGGCAGAAATGTCTTCCTTAGCTGAGCAATCTAAGTGTGCATTTAGAGAGGACTCCATAGGGGTACCGATAAGGAAGAGTGGGATAGCTCTGGAGACAACTCAGTTCATTCTTCTAGGTGATGTCCTTTTAGGTGGAGTGCGATTCTCCAGGTTCATTCATCACTCCCATTGCCCGCCCCACCCCAATCTCTTCATATGGAAGTGCCTTGGCAGTGAGAACCTGTGGGGAGGGCTGGTGTCTGGCCCATCTTTTTATTCCGGGACCCTTGCCTGGTGTCTGTCATGGGGCAGGTGTGTAGGAAATGTTTGCTGAAGGAATGAATAAATGACCGAGGAAAGGGTTCTCCATATGCTCCATCCAGCAGTCCAAGCTGAGACCTGTAAGCATTCGCTCTGTCTTTCCCACATCACCGTGGGAAGCAGAGGCAGCAGGCATAACTGAGCTTCTCACTTGGTGGAGGACACTCCAAGGGGATGTGCGGTGTTAGAATGCTTGCATGCTGCTTTTAACTTTTGCGATTCAGAATCCTAGCTCTTGAGGGACCTTTGAAACCTGAAGTTCAGCTTCTTCACTTTATAGATGAGGAAACAGAGTCAAAATGAGAAAGCTCCTTGCTTAAGGACAAATCTGGGACTTGAATCCCACTTTCCTGCTCACTTCTAATTAGATAATATATATATTTTTTGTACTGACTTCTTTTATTTCATTGTGTGTGCTATTTTGCATAACTTTCCCCAAATCCTGCAACTTCTGGGACTGCTGTGAATGACAGTAGCACCATTTCCCTCTTCTCCCTTTGATTTTGCACTGTTCTCTCTTTTCTGCTTAAGGATTCTAGGGATAAAACACTCTGGAAACCCCAGGAAGCTGGACAGAGTCCTCTAGATCGGTGAGTCATACATAAGATGAAGAAAGATGCCACCAACTGAATAGGAGAAGGTATTTGCAAACAATGCCTCTAATAAGGGGCTAATATCCGAAATATATAAGGAACTCATACAACTCAACAACAAAAAGACAAACAATCCAATTAAAAAATGGGCATAAAACATGAAGAGAAACTTCTCCCAACAAGATACAAACAGCCCACAGATATATGAAAAAATGTTCAATTTCACTAACTACTAGGGAAATGCAAATCAAAACCACAATGAGATCTCACCTCTCACCTGTCAGAATGACTATCATCAACAAGTGTTGGAGAGGCTGTGGAGAAAAAGGAACCCTCATACACTGTTGGTGGGAATGTAAATTGGTACAGCCACTATGGAAAACAGTATGGAGGTTCCTCAAAAAATTAAGAACAGGGCCGGCCGAGTGGCGCGATGGTTAAGAACTGCCTTGGGACACCAGAGGGCCCCGGTTCGGATCCCACATATGAGGGCCAGTGACACTGCCCTCCACAGCTAAGAT